AAGTAAAAAGAGTTTAGCTGGCTAATTCCCATCAAGATCATTTAAAAATAAAAATGAGATCTTTAAAAATTCTCATTTAAATATCTATGACTTTTGAGGCCACTGACAGCATGTCAGCATGAATTCCTGAGTTGCTTTTGAGACAGAAATTTGCAGTTGCAGTAAACTTGAAAGGAGAAAAAATATTTATGCATATGGGAAAGTATTCAATAGACTTTACAGATCTGGCCTTATTTCCTAAAAGATGATTTCTTCAAATTCAGCTCTATGCCATGGGTCCTACTTCATATAGGTTTTGAGATTATAGACTTTTAGAGCTGGAGGCAAAAAGACATGGCCCACTAGAGCATAATCTATCTTTAGACAGGCCCATACTCTATTTGTATGGCAACTGGTTTAGTGACAGTGCTCTGCTCCCACAGACAACCATTGCTCATAGTCTTCCATTGGAAATAGATACAGAGCCTTCCTCATACAATGTGGTTATGAAATAACTTATTCTATACTCTCAAACTTTCGCCCTACAGAGATCCTTGGAGAGTCTCAGCAGCCTAAGGGCAGAGCCCAAGTTACCCTTTAGACTATAGAAATCTACTATCCATTGCTGTTGGGTCACAGGAGGTACAAAGGGCATATTTTAAAATCAGACAATCCAAAGATCAAGGCAACTCAGCTCTTAATGAGCTATGATACCTGAGCATGTTACTTAACCTTTCTGAGTCTCAGTTTCTCCTTCTCTATAATGGTGTTGCTAATAACCTACTTTATAAGATATCTATGAGGACTAGTGGAAATATATATCTAGATCTAGATCTAGATCTAGATATAGAGAGAGCACCACATAAATATAGATGTACAAAAATAATGGTTTGTCTTATAACCATAATCTGAGTTGTTGTTAAGTACCGTGGAGTCGGTTCTGACTCATAGTGACCCTGTACAGGGTTTCCATGGCTGTAAATCTTTACGGGAACAGAAAGCATCATCTTTCTCCTGCGGAAGCACTGGTAGTTTCGAACTGCCGACCTTGAGGTTAGCAGCCCGATTTGTAACCACTACGCTGAGTTGTTGTTGTTGTTGT